TGTGGTTATTTTATAACAAGTAGAATCGTTTTAAAAAAGAATAAAAATACATGCATATTCCCTATTCGTTATGCTTAGTTTAAAAAATAAATAAAAAGTTTGAACTGAAGCATATGCCTTTATTTGCCGCAATTCTAAAAGATTACAAGAAATTAGACAGAGACAGTTTACATACCTCAGATTTCCCCGTTTGACTGTTAATAAGAATTAAAATAGGAAATATAGGAAAGGTTTTAAATAAAAGGGCAAATCAACAAGGCGTAACAAAACACCGAAACCAAAGAAATTAGAAAAAAAGTGTTCAGAATTTCATAACCTCAATTTTAAAATTTGATTTTTGCAGAATAAAAAAAAATATAAAACAGATTTTTAGTATTTATCGATTTTTTTATTTTTTTATGTAATTCTGAATAAAAAAAGGAATAAATAATTCGTAATTATTAATTAAAAATCATTATATTAGATTGTATATCAGATATTTATTTCAGAACACATACATCAAAAAACATAATTAAATTTCTGATAATTTTTGATATGTTAACACAATTAATGTTTTTGAATATGCGAGATATTGAAAATGTCAACTCTAAATATTCTTAACTAAAATTATTTTATGAGTTAACAATTTCTTTGCATTTATTATTACAATATACAACTAACAAACAATATCTCAAATTTAACATTCTATATATATTATTAAGACAAAAAAATTTATTGCTACATACAATTATCATAAAACTGCATTTAATTTTTTTTTTCTATTAAAATTACTCATTTTTTAATTCCTGAATTTATTCAACTACACATTATTCGAAATTGTTTATTAGTAAATACAAACCAATCACCTTAAATCTAAATTGGCACAATGTTAGTAAATTAAATAAGCATTTTTACACTTATATACTAAAACGATGTATTAATCTCCTTTCTTTTAGACTAAACTTAGACATCTATACTATTATAATAAAGCGTAAACACACACTTCTTTGTTGCCTAAGATGTCAGCAATTACACCATATTTTTTAATAATTCTTTTTGTAATAAAAAGCCCTACACTTACGTCACGCTTTAGGCTATATTTTTACGTCATCAAACTTAGGAGGTAAATATTTTGGATAAAAACCATAATGTGAGAAAGAGACCATAAGTTGTTGCCAACATCAAGAAAGTAAGATTGCCATGTTTTGTCATGTTATGTCATTCTGACATTTGCTATTGATAATTTGACAAATGTAAACAATAAAATAAAATTTTCATAATCTTATGCGGATGAAGTCGCATGGGAACAGCTAGTTATTAATAATAATAAAACTTAAAGCCTATTTTATTAATCTGGATTTTAACATAAAACCCTTTATTATTTTGTGCGTTATTTATTTAAACCTAAGACAATATTTGAATTAAGATATCAAAATAGTTATCAAGATAATATATACAAAGGATGGTCCTTTGAGGTGGATAAAAAAATCATTACAAATAGATTAATTTGAACATCATTATCCCTTTTTGCACTTTAGTTTTAAGATTTGACATGACCAAAGAATTTAAATCGATTCCAATGACATAACAAAAAAAATAGTCCTTCGAGCCGGACAAAAGTGTTTAATTGACAAAACGACACTACTTACAATAAAAAATATTATTCAAACTGTAGTTAACATTTTACTCGTAACCAAGACTTTTTTAATGTAATTGGAAACTGGTGACCAATTTGAAGTTAGTTGATTCTGTGGATTCCGAAGAGTTGATACATATAATGAAATTTTACGGTTTTATTAAGTGGGATAATTACCCAATAATTTACTAAAAAGTAAATGATCTTGTCTTTGATTTTAGGACTGTAAGTTATTTACTGTTAGGAGATTAATAAGGATCGAGCAGATTATTACTGTAATGACTATTTTTTTGTCATAATGTAGCGATGACTTACCGATGGCGAGGGCGCGCGGTCGCCGGCTGACAGTCAAGTTGACAGTCGCCATGTCACCTTCCGACACTGTCACTGTCACTGGAGATGGTGATATATAACTGGAATTGACACCGACATTCTTATATGCTAATATTATAAAGAGGAAAGATTTGTAGTTTTGGATACTTATACGTATTGAAATAACTCAAAAACTAATCGATGTCGATCGATCGATCGGTTGATTTCAAAAATTCTTTCACCGATAAAGGACATGTCCTTTTTTTAATTTCACGTGAGTGAAGTCGCGAGCAACGGCTAGTAGTAGATGAATTGCACGTCTTACAAAGTTTAGATGGATGAAAGTTTGTTAGAGTTTATACACTAAACTTAACGGATTTCGATGAAATTCGTCATAGATGTAAATGAAAATCTGGAAGAATACTTAAGCTACTTTCGATCTCGGAAATAGTAACGTTTCTTGTTTTACAATTTGTTTTTCTATTTACTCGATAATTTTGTAACGGTTCAAGATATCTTATTGAAATTTGGCACAGATACAAACCAAAGTAACACATAGGATACTTTTCACCCTCGAAAAATGTCAGGTTCCTGATTGATATGTAGTTTTTTGTTTATCGTGATTTTTATGTACAGTTCGTACTAAGTTGGGTCCTATCATAAGTGTAAGTTATGAACTTACCCGTTC